CAGCCGGATTGACAAATCGCAGTGGAGAGGCTTCGGACGTCAAGTATGCGTAAACGTTAATGACTGATCGAGGTGAGACCGGCGTCGCAGATATTTTTGCCGCGAGGTAGATGGCAGCAGCAGAGTAGTCTCTGGAACTGAAATTACGACGGTCGTTCGGGGTGGAAGAGACTAGGAACTGCTGTAGCAGCACCGTGCCATGCGCGATGACTTCCTGCGCCAGGCGGAGGAGGATACCAGCAGCGGATGTGAGTTGAAACTGGGCAAACCATGAGGTCGAGCTCTCATCGTCTTCGGCATTTTTGAACTTGAGCAGCTGCGCTGGAGTGATCAAAGGATTGGAGATATGCTCCAGAGCAGGAATCGGCGCCATTCGCGCAGTCCATTTGTGTCAGGACTGAGCGACGATGGCGTAGCAAGAGGTTGTGTCGGTGCGTGCGCGGCTGGCGCTGGTAGCGCGCAGAAATTTCCGGCGCAGCATTAGACCAGTGGACAGCACTTTATTGACAAACTTTGTTTACTCAATACTCGGTACAGCTCTCTCCTTTCCCAACTGCCTGTATGAACGCACAGATGGAATCACACAAGATTATATTATGATAGACTTGTTGTTTTCCGATCTCCTCTCTAGAATTGGATGCATTGGAACAAATCTAGGGGCCTGCGTGGAAGCTCTGGAAGAGGCAGCGCAGCCATCCTCCAGTTTGTCGAGAGATGCTGGTGTTGTGACACGTAGAAGCTCGAACTCACGATACTAGATACCGTAGAAGGTTGAAGTGCATTTCTCACTAGGAATCTGCAACGGGAACTCGCACATTGAACGCAGCTCTTGAGTAGCTTGGTTGTGCGTCCGGCACCCGATGGTTCTGGAATTTTAGAATTTGAAATCAATTCAAACATTTCACAGTCATCTTGCCTTCTCTCTCGGCTTCTGGTCCTCCCCTCCACCTCGCCATGATGCTACGGGCAACTGACAAGCTAGATCAAAGGGCTGTACAAGACCTCAACAGTTCGTGAGTCTACAGTGGCAGGTCGAGAGCGCGACAGTTTACGGTGAGCCACCCTTCTAGAACGAACCGCAGTCAAGGTACTGATACCTCCAGCCAGTTCACCAACTACACCTCTCAAGTTCTAGAACGTCTGAGCTGTTGGCTGGCACTGGCATCAACGTCACCAGTGCATAAGATCGCAGACTGTCAGCTCATTCAGGATGAGGTCCTCTGCGCAGTCAATTGTTGCCGTTGTCGCGTCAATGCTGCGGGTTTTCCAGGTCCACCCACCCGTCTTGACACCGGATACTGTCGCGCAACGGCCATTGATTCAAGATGATGGAAGATGCGCTACACCACTTGTTTCTGATCCCCCAGGATGTGTCGTAACCAAGACTCTCATGATTCATTCCTTCGGAAACAGCTATGGGCACCCGTTCGTGGCCCCTTACACACCCCCTCATTGTGATTTCAATCGAGTGACTCTCAACCTCACCGTTACCGCTGCTGGCAAGCAGTTCGACCGACTGGCGATCGCCTACCTCGGTGACGTGGAGATCTGGCGGACAAGCACAGCGGAACCAACTCCTGGCGGGATCATGTAAGCTCTTTGCTGGGCCCAAGATACAATCCTCTGACCTCTGCCAGATGGACTTATGTCAAAGATGTGTCTCATCTTCTGGCACTGTTCACGCAGCCCCAAACACTGATTTTTGACCTCGGTAATCTGATCAACGAAAATTATACCTCCCCATTCAACGTCACTCTACAGGCGACCTTCTTCACCTCCGCTGACGCAGAGAAGCGGGCGGATATGATCATTCCAATTTCAGCCGATGGAAGCGCCAGCAACAAGTCCAGTCAATGGAATCACTGTCAACGTAGAGTGTCGACTTCTATGGTACTGCCGCAAAACATCGAGCGGGCTGTCGTGACCGTCTCCGCGACTGGTCAGATGATGGAAGGTGGGCTGGTTCCTGGGCAAGAGTAGGGATCTGCTGACAATTGGCACAGAGTTCTGGTATTCCAATGTGCTTTCTTCCAACGTGGATACTTTTGGAGTCGACTCCCTTCTAGGCTATTCCCCCTTTCGTGAGGTACAGTTGCTAATTGATGGAACCTTGGCTGGGGTTGTGTGGCCTTTTCCCATCATCTTCACCGGCGGCATCGTCCGTGGCTTCTGGAGGCCTGTCGTGGGAATCGATGCGTTCGACATCCGCGAAGATGAAATTGATATTACACCTTGGCTGCCGCTGCTCTGCGACGGCAAAAGTCATGACATAGAGATTCGAGTCGTCGGACTGGATGACGACGGTAATGGCAGTGGATTTCTATCTGAGGACGTTGGCAGTTATTGGGTAAGCACGGCTGTACGATCATGACACACTCCGCTTATATTTCACCAGGTTCTCACAGGCAAGATGTTTGTCTGGCTAGATTCCGCAGGGCATGCAACGTCTGGGAGTCACACTCTGGCAGATGCATCCGGATTTTCTATTTCTCTGTCGTCTACAGTCGGTGCCGCTCCAGACGGGACAAATTGCACCCTTTCCTACACCGTCAATGTGGATCGCCAGCTCTATATCTCATCGGAAGTACAGACGTCCCGGGGTACCAAAGTTGCCACTTGGCAGCAATATCTGAGATATTCAAACGAGGGTGAAATCTCAGACTTTGGCAATGTCCAGGTGACCACACAGAACACATTTGGCAGAGCCGTTTCTTCAGAAGGGTATTCACGTACCTTTGATTATCCCCTCTTCGTGAACAGCACTGTCGCGCAAGATAAAGGAGCCGACACTCTTTCCATTTCCGCGGCTTTGGCGAGGGGTCAGACTATCGAGATTAGTGGTCGTTCGGTATTACCAACTGGCTTAGAGTCCTTCAATGCGCCATATTCGGAAGAGGCTCAAAGATTCAACGGGAGCCGCTTGACGACGAGTCAGAATGGAAGCGCTGAGTACTTCAGTCACGGCAACACCTCATTCAGTCCAGGCGCGACGCAGCAGGAGTTGTCTCTGTTCGGGATTCAGGATTCGGGTCTCGAAACTGGTCCGGCAAACCTGGTAGAGTTGTATCGCAGACATGTCCTCGCTGTCAATGACACGCTTCTTCAGGATGCAGTCTCCTTTTCTGACCTGGACCAAATCCCGAAGCCAGGCCATAGCGCCTGAGTTAGCTGCAGACCGTTGGTTCTTATTCAGACGAGGATCTCAGGGACCCGAGGGGACTTGGCCGTTCGTTAAACTGGTTAAAACAGCCACAGTTGCTCCTCCAAGTTCTACTGGGCCGACTGGCAATTCCCCTTCCTCTCGAACATCACTTGCAGTCAATCACAAGCAGCCCCCTGCGCCTATTCACGACACATGTAACAATAAGGGCTTCAACAGGCCGCTTCGACGCCATTGCTGTGTCTGAACATTGAAAGCACATTCAAGCTTGTCAGAGAATTTCGCAAGATCAGGAAACAAGCAGACCAAACTCGATGATGAGTTTGCTATCGAAACTCTACCAATGATGGAGCACCTACCATCGGCCTTCGAGGACGCCACTCTCCTCCGTGAGCTTGTTGAGACCAAAAACCTTCACACATGCCGTTCCCTATGACAATCAACGGTTCTGGAGCTGTCCCCAACGTCGGGGTTTCTCTGCCAAACGTATATCACAAAGGTTAATAGGTGGAAAAATGTGGACGTGTTGATTGCTCAGGGTCCCACGGCATCCCAACACCACACACAAAGGGGCTCATCTATTGGCACCAATCAATCCTCTGTTTCAATAAACGCGAGGACTTTTCCATGTACTCGTCACTCATCTAGTTGTGATTATACTAAGGTATGTTGCACGAATGCTTCCTTGATTCAGTGGCGGCCAATTGTTTCTAGAAAGTGGACAACAGCGGGCGTCAAGTTCTGAACACTGTCTGCCTTCACAAGGATATTGGTCCATGGGAAGCATAGTCGAAAGAGATGCCTATTGTGCAGGCTAGAAATTGTACAGCAAACGGTGTCAGGTGCGTCGAGAGGGGTAACTTCCAGCTGGTTGAGGCGAGCCGGGTCAATGGCGGTCAAGAGCAGCGCTGGTGCATTGGATGATATTTGCGATGAGATCGTGGGTGTTTCCAGGTGGTCTCTGCACTGGTTATAAGCGTTGTTTTCTGGAAATCCCGAACAAGACAAAGGTTGATGGGAGGGTAACAGATGTATGCGACCAGCGTGTAACTGAGATAAGGACGTATGATGCAAACCAGACCTACTTGAGGTGTCGTGAATGCTGAGGACATGCCCTGAGCACTTGTCCGCTAGCATTGTCGTGTCGAGGAGTAACAGGGTTGATCGAGCATCAAAACCAGCTCTTCCACGGGACGACAGCACGCTATCGAAGGCTCCATGCCGTGATACATGCCCATTATCTCTCGTAAACCTGGATTATTGGAGTTCGGGGCCGACAAGACAAGGCTGAACAGCCCCCTGGGGCTTTTGTGTATGGGGGTTGCGCCAAGGCATTATATAAGCAAGAATGGGGCTCTCCGGGTGGGTGGCGGCCCTCGTACCAGAAAATTTGGGGTGTCACTGATATTCATTATCCCCTTCTTGATTTCATAGCACCCGAGGCAGACCAGGGCATTACATTGCACCTGGGCAACATTGGTCGGAAGACAAAGGAAAAAAAGAAAGACAAGAAAGCGGTACCGAGGACAAAAAACCGGTGACAGGCAGGGGCAGGGACAGAGACAGAGAGCAATACTCCTAGGATCACCTTTGTCCACGAGGCTGAACCCCCCCTCCACTCGGGTCTCTTCATCGAGCCCTTTTGTCTCTGTGCCTTTTGCCCCTGGCACTATCCATACTACGAGTCCACTTTCATTGACCCTCAGTCGCTGATATCTCCTGGTCAATCTTCCTCTCTTCTCACGCCTTCTCAAGGAATAAGGGTATCGCCTTCACACACCCAGACCGAGTATACACTCTGTACCCAAAAGAACAGAGAAGACGACCAAAGAGAGCGAGAATGTCTCACACGCACACCCACCACCGCCGCACCCACAACCTCCTCCTCATCTCCAAACTCCTGTCCCAGCACCCCCACCACGCGCAGACCTCGCCCTTCACCCTCGTCCTCGACTCGCTCGAACAGCCCGCCCGTCCGCTGACAAGGGAGTATCTCCGGCGTGCGAGGCTGTCGAGACGCGCAGGGGCGCCACACGGCGTCGTGGTCGTGGTTCTTGGGTTCGAGACGTTCGCTAAGCCCGTCGGGGCAGACTATTTCGTCCCGTGTCATGGGTATTGTCACGACGTGGGGCAAAGTCCAAGTCCTGGTCGAGCCTCTGGGGCAGGGGCGGGAGTAGGTGTGGGAGAGAAGATCGCGCGGGAAGTGGGCGAGATTCTTCGGCGGAGTGGCGGAAACAGTACGTCTCCTCCCTCTCATACCTCTGCTAAGGCTGTGTTCATCTCCATATTGATATTATTGCCTGCTCTCGCTTCACTACCAGGCCGTTGTATCGTGTTTCAATCTTACTAACGCCAAAATCATACACGCAGGGTTCTTGATCATGATTGATTCCTTATCGACACTGGCCGCTCTCTCCATCCAGCCGACGTCCAATCTCAACCTGACCGCGTTCCTCTCCTCCTTACTCCAGCCACCCGCACTCCAGACAAAAGGCGCGGAGCAAGGCGAGGGCCCGCAAGTTTCGTTGGTCGCCGTCTATCACACCGACGTGCCCTTGCCGTCCCCACCACCCTCGACACTCCCGTCATCGGCATCGCTGTCAAATTCGTATTCGCCTTCACCGCTCTCGCTCCTCTCGTACCTCGCCACCACCGTCATAACAATCCATTCGCTCCCAATCCTCCTGGCCGAAAAGTCTGCCCGCTCCAAATCCCTGGCCGCGCCGGCCTTTGGCCTCTCGGAAGAAATCGAGGGCGTGGTCATAGGCCTAAAGTCCAAGTCTGTGACCAAATTGAAGGAAGAGGAGCGCGGAGTTGTCTTGGAATTGGAACACCGCAGGAGAAGTGGTCGCGGAGTCAGAGAGTGGTTCTTCTTGCCTACGTCCCAAAACATGACGAAAAAGGGCGATGGCCAGCCGTTCCGGGAGATCGTCACTCTCCTGGATGATCACCCGCTGTTCCGTTCATCGGGCGAGGAAGAGACGGTGGAGGAGCTTTCGGGCATGACTTTCGAGCTGGGGCTGACCGAACGTCAACGCCTGGAGCGGGAAGGGGTGGTATTGCCGTACTTTGATGCTCAGAAAGCAGGCGGCGGAGCGGGCGAAGGTGGACGAATCTTGTACGACATGGGCGTTGAGGATGACTTTGACGAGGAAGAAGATGAAATCTGAGCCGACATGCCAGCTGCATTGGAAGCAAACAGGTCGTCCAAAACCGCGCCGACGTGAGTCTTCCGCGCCCAGATTACGCAGTGGGTATAAGATGCTCGCTTTGTCCATATAAATCACCCCAGATACCAACAGGGAAGCTCGTCACCAAAATCTCCAGATGATGAAAATGAGGATGATCAGGCCGAGACCAGCAAAAGGCCCATACTATTTGCACATGTCAACACACCCAATTCCTTCAAGAGCAGACCTCTCACTTACCTGCTTCAACATCAACTCCCAATTAATCCTCACGGCGGCTTTCCTGTATTTCTTGCTGTCTTCTCTCAGTCGCCCGGACATCTCACCCATCCTCTCCAGACTGTCGCCCCGGTATAGCAGATCCTCAATGTTCTTGGTCATGACCTTTGTCACGTCCTTGAGCTCGTCGTTCAACTTGTCCAGGTTCGCGCTGGCCCGGCTGTCCTGGTACGTCTTTTTGGTTCTCTGGATAAACGTGTCGAACTCGACAAAGGCATACGGCCGCAGCGTCGCCGAGAGGTATTGCTGGGACGGGTAGATGGTGGTGAACTCCTGCGCCAGGTCGGAGAGGTAGGTGAATGCGAGCTTGCGGGGGTAGGATCGGTCGCAGATGCAGAGGAAGCAGACCGAGTCTCTGATGAGGTAGCTGGGTGTCGCGCAGGGTGAGCAAGCTTCTCGGATGCGAGAGGAGTGTATGCAGGCTTACTGCAACGTATACTGGCCCGATTCTATGCTTGCTTGTTGTTCCGAGTTGCGGTTGAGGCGTCGGAATATCATTTTTGCCTGTGACTTGACCTCGGCGAGCTCTGTCTCGACCTGCGTTCCCCCGTGGTAAGCAAATAATGCCAATGGTAACTGTGAGAAGTAATAGAGAACCACGCGTACCTGTTCGTCGTCGACCGAGGCCGCGAGCATGAGGCCTGTACAGAAAGCGGGCGAGTCAGCCAGTTTTCCCCCCAAGACATTGAAAGCAAAGCTTTCAGATTTCACGAACCATCCAGCCTGGCAATTTGCGTTGATTTGACCATCTCAAGTTCCTTGTCTGCTCAATCATAACCCCTTTGGTGAGATCTAGGAAATAGAAGAACAAAAAGCTGGAGGCGTTCGTTGTCCTCACCCTGTTCAGGACACTTTGTTGTCATTTCGCGACTCGAGGCAGACTTGACAAACACGGCAAACATCCCAAGCGGGCTAAGCAATATGGGGTCAGACACGAGATCCACCACTAAACACTCACTACATTGTAATCGCTGCGTCCAAAGGCACAGTCCAAAGTGAATTCTAGAGCTGCAATTCTACGTTGGGGGTGCATATGACAGCATGTACAAGTCCTTCCGCCGTCCAGCAGTGATGAGGAGAATCAAGCCTGAAGACATTTTGAAGAAGCTCAAAGGCTGAATTGTAGATGGGTTTGAAGCTCTACACCAGCGTTTGATGGAGGAGCTCTGTCCGTGATGAATGTCGTGACTCTGAGCTGGTCTCCATGATCTCCCCTTATATGTTTCTTCGGTGACGTCCAGCCCATCTATGAGCTCGTGTTGATTGATAATGTACTCATTACCTGACAAATTTGAGATTCGAGGAAGGATTGCGCTGCTTGTTCCTTCAACCTAGATAGAATCCTTGGGATAGTTAGTGGTCAACAGCTTCCCAGAGGATATCTTCGAAGTGTGTCCTAGACTCTTTCCAGTGCCAAAAGGCCCTTCCAGCCATGAAATGGCTCCATCTAATACTGACGCGCCTCGGGCAGTCTTCTGTATTTCGATGGGTGAGGCCAATCGTTGAGACGGATCGTTGAGGCCTTTGGCTCTCGAAGGTTCTATGAGCGGCCACTCTCAAAGTCTATACCACTGTATTGGGACATGATTGTTCATCCCTATAAATCCTTCGGGCGCAAGAGGTGGCGCTTTTTTTGATACGCAGTTGTATATCGTGTGACTCTGTTGCCCGAACAGGAATAGAAGGCACGATTGTTGCCCCGAATAGGCAAGGCGCAGGAATCCATTCTCATGGTTCACGACATCGACGTCTTCACGATCCGTGTAGTAACAATGGGCACGATGCAACTAAAATGTCAGCATTGCCTCGGTCAATATAACAACCACTCGGCAGAATCCAAAATCTATATCAGACCCAGGAAGGGGATGCGGCAAGTCCAAATACTTCCGGATGCTAGATGTAGCTCGCCATCAAGGGGGAAGGGCAGAAATTTGAGGGCCAGCATAGTCCCCGTCAAGGTCAGGCTCGCGACCGTCTGTAAGTGAACAAAAGCAAGACGGGAGAAGAGACCTTCGAAACAGCTGGACTAGCTCGGCGATTTCTTCTTTAGAACAGCCGGATGTTAATAAACTAAAGTAATCGTACTCGGCCATTAGCCGCCTCATGAGAAGAAGATCTGTTATGAGCGGAATTGACTGCAACAAGGCTGCAGAAGCTGACATGAATGTCGCCAGAGCCGCTTTGCCCGTCGAGACTCAGGAGTGGTACTGCTGCAGATGTAGCGGCTTCTGACATGGATGTCTTTAGTCGACTTGAAAGAGCCACCAGGGGCAACTAGGAGACAACATTGCAGATTATATTGTAGGGAGATTCGATGATTGATATTCGCTCAGGTTGGTAAGTGATTTCTTCGTAGTATGACGGCCTTGCACAATAATCTGTTGGTCAGGCTGAATGCACACCAGCCAGTCTTGCTCGTTCTCGCACCGCCGGGGAGATGGAAATAACCGCCACGGCCGGGGCGGCGACCAACATTGTGTCCCGATATGAGGCATCAGGCATCAGCGGCCTGTCTCTCTGTGGCGTTTTGTGTGTTTGGTGGCAGAAAGTCAACGCTTGTGAAGACAGCCTCGTCCATCCAAGTCCTCTGCGGCCACTGCTGCAATGGCAAATCCTTTTGGCTGCTGACAGTTTTTTGTTGAACCAGAAGCTTTACAAGCCCGATCTGAGTGACTGGCAGGTGCGGGAGGCACGGTTGAAGCCGCGAGCCTCAGGCCCTGCTCAGGATCCCAGATAGATGATTAATGATCTCGGCATTCGAATTCTCCAGGGTGGAATCTCGAAAAGGGTGTGGGCAAAAAGGGAAGAAAGACTACCACCGAAGAACAAAACCATACCGGTTGGCTGGCAGGCGTGGCGCAAGCGTGACGTGCTCGGAGCCTGAGCTTTGCCCAGTACTTGCCTAGCTTCGGTGCCAGAGCTATCAGTGCCAACGCTGCCACGACTCCGTCAAGGTCGTCTCAACTCTCGACTTTGCTACACCACACACGCATCTCTCCCTTCCGGTGACAGCCAGGTGCAGTAGCGCAGTGCGGTGCAGTGCAACATTGAACCGGGGGAGATCGGAAACACGACAGCAATGTCGACAAACACGCGCAAGCGGACTGTTGTGAAACCCCAGGCACAGACTCTGTAGGAGAGACAGCGATAGCCCGACGGGCGAGAGAGAGCACAATGCGGTGCAGTGCAGTGGGTTTAGGTGATTAGGCGGTTTTCTGAAGCAGTGCAACATCGCGTGAAAAAGCCAGCATGGTGGCTCGACCCAGAGCAGAGGCTACATGGGCCTAAGATATGCTGTGTAACGAACGAACGCAGCTCGACTTACCGCTTAGTCCGCACTGGGGCGCGCCGCTGTAGATAAAGAATTTCAGGTTGATACATATCAGACGAGAAAGACCGGATGTCAAATCCGTCCCGTCAGAAATCACTCCCCAGAAATCCTCGTTTTATCATGTATCATGATGGGGGGATGAATGTCGTGGATTGGGAACCCCTCTGGTTCTGGCAACAAAAGGCTGGCAAATCCGAAATAGTCCTTCATTGGCTGGCAACGTGGCTCACCAAAAGGAGTTTGCCATGGGAGGAGTCCTTGTCAGTCTCTTTGGAGAAGCTCGAAGCTTGTCTGGTTTTACTAAGAAACCCCGGCCGGTGGAGGTGGAGGTGCCTACCACTAACCACATGCAGGGTCTTGCCGGGTTTCTCTGGCCGGTGGTGTCCATCGCCACCTTCACTTTCCGAGGGCTTGCTTTACCCATGGCCACGGTATGGGTGGTGCCATGCACAGTCCTTTCTTTTCCCTCCGTTAGTGCAGAAATGGTAGCAAACAAAGCCCAGTCCTACAGAAATCCTGGTTACGCGCCGATCGGGCCGAGAGCCGTCCTCTCAGGAGATAAAAGACGGTGAAATAGAGGTCTTTTTTCTGGTGGTTTTATGCTCTTTGGGTTTGTCATGAGTTTGTATTGCTGGTAGCTTACTAGTGGCAAGCATTTGGCCGAGACTGGATATTCGATAGTGAGATTCTACAGAGTAGGAGACATCGTCATATAAGAAAGTATTTCCGGACCAGAATCCTGTAACTCTGTGATTCAGTTCTTGTCATGTGAAACTGTAAACTGCGAATTTTATGTCATGTCAAGTTGATATCTGAGTGCTTATCCCTGATTGATCTCCCCTGATCATCGAGTAACTCATTGTCGCTTGCGTGAACCCAAGGAAGATATCGTCACTTCCAGTTTCCAAGTGAACGCTCGTGAGGCTTTGTCTATCGCTCGCTATATTCCATACACTGGAGAGGGAATTCCCAAAAAAACAAATGAAAGAAAGGATCTACCATAGGATGAAGGCCGTCGTGTGCACCAGATTCCATAGATGAGGCCCATGCGTTGAGGATTTGGCAGAATGCCGAAAGCTCTGAGGTCTACCACTTGATGACCTTCTTCGGGAAGAATTCGTCAATCAGATCGAGGTAGTACGGCTGCAAAGACACGTTAGAACACGCAGCGACAGAAAACAGGGGTGACATGCCTTTAGCTTCTCCACGCTGGGTCTCTCGTCGCTCTTGCTGTACAGATCGTACGGGTTGAACTTCTTAACAGCCTTGAGCATCTCGTGATCCTTCTCGTTCATGAACTCTCGGTACGCGCCTTGTTGGTGCCACGGGTAGAAGCTGTGGTAGCGGATCATGGCCAATGCCTCGTCAGGAAGCGTCGATTGATCTTTGACCACATGGTAAAGGTACTCATCGTGGCCCCAGGACAGCATGATGTTGTCGAGGCCACAGCCAGGTGAGTAGATGCCCTCTTTGGTGCTGTAGATGGGGTGCTCGAAGTCGGGGTTGGCGCTGAATGACTTGTTGCCGTAAATGATGCGGTCGTCGAAAGCACAGCCCACAGGAAAAGTATCTCCAACAACGTCCCACTGACCTTGTGCATCGAAGAAGAATAAGAGTTTTCCAAGATCGTGGATCAGACCGGTGAGCTGCATCCAGCGTGGCCGCCCATCGCGACGCATGGCCTCAGCAGATTGCAGCAGATGTTCGATTTGTCCAAGCTCTGTGTCGGGATCAGACTCATCGATGAGGGTGTTGAGACGCTCCATGGCTTCCCAGATAGACATCTCGGCGCGGGTTTTGGCGTGGAAGTTGTGGCGAGCTTTGAGGTTGTATGCAACTGTCTGCTTGGTATGTTGCTCGAGGTAGAAGTTCTTGACCCGGTCACATGCAGTTTCATACTGGCGAAACTGCGTCTTGTCTTTGTCGGCGTCAAACTTGGAGCCCTCGTCTTCCTCTGTTGCATGCTGCTGGTTTCGGAGAGCTTGATCCGCTGCAATGTCTGCTTGTTCAATTTCGTCGCACAGGGCTTCAAAAGCTAGGCCGTCCCGGTCGTTGTGGAAGGATGGAGGATGAGAAGCCTGGCCAAGAAGAATAGCAGGCATTTTGAAGTGTACTTGTGGCACAAGTCGCTGTATATAAAAATATCGTTAGAGCTCGGGTTTTGTTGATGTTGAATTGTATATTGACAGAATGACAGGCTGCAAAGTAGAAGAAGGATGCTGGATTATATAGTCGCTGGATGCAATGTTTGGTGGCGTTTGACGATTGTCACTTGTTTGTCACTCATTCAAACGGACGACATGAATAGTGTGAATACAGAGAAAGATCAGCTTTCAACACAAGATCTGAGGTTAATATAGATCGGGCCATTCAATCAGACCTTGGTTTAGTGATGCATGGAGTGGATTCCGCAGGGGAATACCGGAGTCGTTGCCTAATGGTCCCGCAAATGATTCACTCATTGAGATAAAATTCGAGAGGACCCTGAACCCACACGAAGCCATGACCTTCATGCTGGTCGCGATAATCCACAGCGAGGCGACGTGGTTGACCTGCTCAGTGCTGAAAGTTGCCAAATTTGGACGCTGGAGGCGAGGTGGCCAGACGCTGACGGGGCTTGGGGGAGACGCTAGCCTAATCATCGACAGCGGGCCGGAGCACTTGATTCCTTTGATCATGAGAGTCATGGAGATGCTTGCGCGGCGAACCTTTCGAGTGGACGATATCCTGGCCATCTGGTTGAGGCGCTACGAACAAGTGTAATCGTCTTTCCGTTGTCGTGACTCGGTCTCCCCGACACAAGAGCCTCTTTCGTGGTCGCCACCCCCCAGTCCAGGGGGAAAGGGAGGACTTTAGTAAAGTCGGTGAGAGAAAAAGCAGGAGGTCAAGAAAAATGATATATCACAAAGTCAAAATATGTCGAGAAGTAGAGTTACACAGCATGAGAAGGAGTGCAGGTGGCCGGGGGCATCGACAACCCCGGGGATGGAGGCTTGACAGTAGCGCTCATGCTGTGTTACAGACCCATCATCCTCAAATGCAAAGGCGGGAGTAGGGGTCATTTCGAAAATACAGCTGACCCCGATGATCACCACACCTGCCCACATGGAACCTCAGTGCAACATGCTCTTTATTTCCCTAAAACACAAAGCTCAAAATAACAGAGGACGAGGAGTAGTTAGAGAAGGAATTCTGAATGCTTAGAATCAGGCAGGTGGGTCCGGGCAGATTTTCCCTGTCGAGTTTCAGGAGGAAAGACGGCGAGGCTGAAGGATGACGATGGTGGGGAAAGGGGGAGGGGAAGAGGGTCTCCACTCGGGGCTATTGGCCAGAAGCTTGTCCCGCTATCGAAGAGGATCCCGTTGCTCGTTATATCAGATGCTACGCAGCACTCCCAATCAGCTGTCCAACATTTTCACTGGAATGACTCGCATGGCGCTGATGGAGTTTTTTCAGTGAGAACAGCCAGAATAACACGACGTCCACTTTTACACAGGAGATCCCAAACCCAGAGTCACGTGGAAAGGAATAATGATATCCCACGTGTCACCTTGGCAGTTCGCCTCGGTGGGACAATAGCCCGAGACTGCGGGCCATGACCTCATCTCGGTTCGGGAATGTCGCGCCGGCTATATGATATTTTCCTTCGCCTAAATCCCAATTCACCATATCTCAACTGCAAGAGATGTTATTGTCGCTTGCAACATATTCGCAAATGCAAACCTTTCACGGAAAACAATAACATACACCACATCTCAGTTGATACAATGGTTGACGTACCGCTAAAGCTCAACACTGGAGCCACCATTCCTGCCTTGGGTCTGGGTATGTTATGTTCCCTCTCCTTCGCTAACCAATTCCCGAAAAAGACACCGGCTAACAGGGATGTAGGCACATGGCAGAGCCCAGAAGGCCAGGTCCGTGCGGCCGTTGCACACGCGATCAAGTCAGGTTACCGCCACATCGACTGCGCCTATGTCTACGGAAACGAAAAGGAAGTGGGCGAGGGGATCAAGGAGGGGCTCGCTGCTGCGGGCATTCCCAGGAGTGACCTGTTCATTACGACCAAACTGTGGTGCACATATCACACGAGGGTGGAGCAGAACTTGGACATAAGCTTGAAGTTACTGGGTCTCGACTACGTGGACCTCTACCTCATTCACTGGCCCGTTGCCATGAACCCCAACGGCAATGACGAAAAATTCCCCAAATTGCCCGATGGATCCAGGGACTTGCTTCGCGACCGATCCCACGTCGACACGTACAAGGACATGGAGAAGTTGCTCAAGACGGGAAAGACAAAGGCGATTGGCGTGGCCAACTACTCAAAGCGATATCTGGAGGAGCTGCTTCCCCACGTCGAGGTGGTCCCAGCCACAAACCAAATCGAGAACCACCCACTCCTTCCCCAGCAAGAGATTGTGGACTACTGCAAAGAGAAAGGCATCCTCATCACCGCGTACAGCCCGCTGGGTAGCACGGGGAGTCCCCTGATGAAGGACCCACACGTGGTCAAGCTGGCCGAGCAGAAGGGAGTCACACCAGGCTGCATCCTCCTGAGTTACCATGTCGCCAGAGGCAGTTCTGTGCTCGCCAAGTCGGTCACACCTTCTCGCATTGACGAGAACAAGAAAATCGTCTCCCTGTCGGACGGCGACCTTGCCTCTCTGGCCGAAATCTCCAAGACCGGCGTCACCCGCTTTGTCTATCCCGCGTTCGGCGTCGACTTTGGCTTCCCGGACAAGCAATAGAGAGCTCTGTTGGCTGAGGAGGATTCTGGCGTTCAAATAGACCTCCAACACTTTCTCATCATTGGTGGCATAGCGAGTGAGAGAAGTACTGACACAGGACCAGAAAGGTTTGGGTGTCTAGCACTTGTACGCACTTATGGATAGATGGCCATGGCATTGGTGATTTCGCAGGCAACAGCAACAACTTAACCGTTCCAAGAGGTTGTTGCTAAGCAAACTAGATATTCCTCTTTTCTCTTTCGTGGAATGAAGACAGTATTTCCCCCAGATTTCCCCAAGTATGTTGATTCCCAGGATTGAGAATTCCGCCCCCAATCGCTTACTGAACACCTCGTACATTCTCCTTGTCCCCTTCTCAAGATGCTAAGAATGCCCACTTTCGCATTCTCGCCAAATACCATATCCACAAGCGACAAAATGCATGAGACTGCATCCAACCCCAACCCAGAGAAGTGAGCAAGCAAATCGCTCAAACTCGATCGGCAGGGCGGTCTGGCCCAAGCTTGTCGGGTATGCTGAACAAAGCGGAAGCCCAACCGAACGACCCCCGGACCCCGGCCCTCCCAATGTCTGGACCCTGCGCCGAGCAAGCGAAATAGAAGCGGATAGGCATTGCCGGCCAAGTGTCGGTGGGGGAGGTGGGTGGACACCTTATTCTTGATGTCTGGCTGGCTTGCCTTCTTCCACTACCAGCGGCAGTAGTAGCAGTAGAACCCATCTATGCACTGCACTGAACGGCAATGCAGAGCGAGAGAATTTCCGTTCTGCATGGAAGCGGGTCTTGTCAATGAATGTAATTTTGAGTTGCCGGACCGTACCACGCACGCATCCGTATCGAGTGGCCTACTCTACAGGTCACAGGTGTGGCTGGTCTTGGGTTGATAATCTGTGCTTGCTGCTAAGTACATACATAGATACCTATCTACCATCCTACAGTCAAGCAAAGACTATATTACGACACACCGCACAATCGGCACGCCAGCACGGAAGATAGGTATCTTATAAGGCTACCCTATCGAGGTTTGATCTCGGGCAGCAATTTTGGACATAGAACCCGCCATCGAGGGTCCCACCTGTTGTACTGACAAGAATGGGTTCACACGCAGAGAAAAGTGGCAAGATGCTCAATATTGCAGTGGCTGGGCTGGGACGAATGGTGAGAGGCTTCTCGAATTTTTTTCCCTCCAAATTCAGTCACATAAGCAGCATACTCTGCACTTTGATATGCTGATTTTTCTCTGCTTAACAGGGCAAGCGCCACGTCGCAACACTCCTTAACCGTGTCGCCCGCGCCCGAGTCGTCGCGGTCTGCAGTGCAGCTCCCCATGAGACGGAATGGGCACGCGGGAATCAAGACTACATCGACTTCGACATCAAGGTCTACGACAGCTACGATGACATGCTGAACCACCAAGGCCTGCAAGCAGTCTGGATCTCGACCAGCACCGATGTTCACGCGAGCCATACGATCAAGGCTGTCGAAAAGGGCCTGCACGTCCTGTGCGAGAAGCCGTTAAGCACAGATCTGAACGAAGTACGTCCCGGCTCCTCCAGGGTTATCCTAATCCCTGCTCTGTGCCGTATTGACTCCCCCTTGACCAAGTACAGGTTTCGGCTGCAATCGCCGCCGCAGAATCCCGACCCGATCTGAAAGTGATGGCAGGGTTCTCGCGGCGCTTCGACGCCTCCTACCGGGACGCATACCAAAAGGTCAAGTCCAACACCATCGGCGAGCCATACCTAGTCCGAAGCAATACTTGCGACCTGCTGGACGAGACGGGGTTCTTTGTCGCGTACGCGAAGCGCAACGGCGGAATCTTCGTCGACTGCACGATCCACGACATCGATCTCGCGCTATGGTTCATGGACAGTCCTGCGCCAAAGTCCTGCTTCGCGGTGGGCACGTTGAAGCACCATCCAGAACTGGCCGAGAGCCACGATGTGGACAATGGGGTCGGCGTTGTAGAGTTCTATGGCGGCAAGATCGCATACTTCCACGCCTCGCGCACCCAGGCCCATGGCCACGACGTCTGCACTGAAATCAGTGGCACCCACGGCAAGGTTATGGTCAACGTCATCCCCAAAGCCAACAACGTGGTCGTCGCGGACAGGACGGGTATGCGACACGAGGTCCAGCCGGAATACTGGCAGCGCTTCGAGGACGCCTTTGCAACCGAGGCTCAGGAGTTTGTCACCGCCGTGCTCGATGACAACAAGGTGCCAGTGCCTTTGGAGACCGGGTTCCTCGTCATGAAGATCGGGCGCGCACTACAGGAGAGTCTGATGACAGGAAAAGTGATCAAGTTTGATGAACAGGGCGAGAGAATCGAGGATAGTTAGGGTCATGGAGGTCATTGATGCTTGGCGTCGAGGTGTATAGGCTTGACATACCGGCGGTCAACCTCGAGGTAACCGCGTCTGGAGGTCCCATATCTTCCCACGGTACATGGAAGAGCTATTGAGCGATGTAAACGAAAGAAGACGCTGTGCCGATCACCATACATAGACCAACACTCGCTGCGAGATCATTACGACACAATTCTGGATGCTCAAGACGGGCCACCTACTGTGCATCGTGACTACAATTGACGATGGGCGCAGGGAGGGGAAAGTTGATGTGCATGAATCATGCTTGATGCTCATTGGCTATCTCTTTTCTTTGTGATTGACTAGTTGGCTTGGCGCCAAGCTCCTCCCTGAACTCTCTGAAAACACCACAGCAAAGGTCACTTCACCCTCATTTTTGAGGGACACTCTCGCTCACCCGGCTCTCACACGCACAGATCTCTGCTGCGCTCTCATATCCAAGACAGACAATCTATCTCCTGGCAGGTTTCTTGTATCCTGCCGATCGCACAGCAGGAGTTCGGACATACACCTCCTCCACGTAGTTGGGGTCGTTGCTGCGGATCCCCGCCCTCATGCGGCGACGGGCATTGATCTGCTTGCGATCTGTTCCCTGGTATGTGGTGTCTTGCCCCTTTGCAATCCACCAAGACTCTGGATGTGGCTCGTACACATCTCTCAAGTGACGGAATTCCTCTCTGTTCATCTTGGCCCTGGAAACCCCGTGGACGTTCTCGACGTGGAGGAAATAGCCTGAGGTGTTCTGGAAGGCGTGGAAGCAGTTCAAGTTGGGGCCAGGACACATGTAAGGGTCGGTGCAGTCGAGTAGAGATGGTAGGCGGCGAGTCCACTTGGGAGCGTCAGCATCTTGATTGCTTTGCTGCAAGGCACCTTGGTCCTGAGTACGTTGACCGCTTCTGGTGAGGAATGGGCCAGCTGCGCTGGTCGTGGCAGGCATGCTAGTGTCGACTCGTGGACCATATCCCTGGTGCTTCTTCAATTTCTTGAGTGGTGCTGGAGATTCGTTGTCGCCATTGCCAGATTCAGTATCAGCGTTTGCGTCATCCAATTTGCGCTTTCTAACACGCGGTGTCTCAACATTTTCCTCGTCATCATTTGTCGGAACATTGCGGGGACCAGCCTTGATCGCGCGGCTAACTGCCTGGATTCATCTGTTAGCAAAGGATGACAATAACATGGCGAGATGATAATGACTGTCACAGCAGAGGATATGTTTTAAGAACTCACCGGAAGAGCAGGAGTGTCCATAGTGGTACGAACAAGACCGTCGTTTTGAGCAACACGAGTCAAAATATCCTTGTCAGATCGAACATCTGGTTTCGGCTTGAGAACCGGAAGTTTGGGTCTACCACCAAGGCCAGTGGAGAGATCAGCTGTGTCTTTGCCCATGTTTCTTACTTCTTCAGCAGCTTTCACGAAGTCGTTTACTCTGTTGATGAATCTGTATTCAGACAGCCTGGGACGAGGAGTGAAGGGTGCATGTGGTGCTGACAGAGAGTTATTTTCAACAATTTGAGGAACCGGATTAACAGCGCCAAGGACTGGAAGATCAACTGCTGCACCCATAACAAAGTCGCGGGTCAGGCTATCAAGGTCAGGCAGTTCCCCTTCAAGCCCTTCGACCACGTACGGGTCGAAGTGAATTGTGTTTCTTGCCGACTCAAGTGGCTTTGAGGCAACATTTGACGCTGATTCAAACCCAGGTGGAAAAACAGATGGATCTAGAGCAACAGAGAGTCAGTGGTCTGTCTGTAACGCGTCAACAAGGTATGTACTTGCCGTTCTGCCAGGAAGTTGAGTTGAGCCCGTTGGCATCGTTGACATCGTTGGCATTGTTGGCATCTTTGCGGTGCATGTTACTGAAGTTGTCAAACTGAGTGCCAACGGCATTCAAGTCTCTATCATCTGCAACGCCCGTACTGACGGGGCCACTGGCACCTTCCAAGTCGAAGAAGGCGTCGAAGCCAACAAATGTGGTATCAAGATTGAGGGATGGAAGGTCTGCGGTCATGTGACCAGTGGCAGCAACACTGCCAGCAAGATCATGAGAACCATTGCCAGCGAGGTCAAACCCATGGTCGATGTTGTCAGTGGCTGCAAACCCATGGAAGTCATCAGTCGTGCTCTCGAGGAACTCGGTAAAGGAGAAGTCGGGTTGAATGTTGTCATTCTGGAGACTTGTCAGCAACAGTGTTCATAAGACTGGGGCTTCACTGCGTACGAGGTCAGTTTGGAGCAACGCGGACAGATGAGCAAACTCTTCGTCGACAGCGTCACCTTGAGCGGGACCGATCACGGCTGGGGCTTGACTAGTCGCCGGCGCTGGCGCAGCGTTGCTGATGAGACGCGGGTCCAGGAACTCGATCTCATTCGCCGATGGTGGCTGGAAATGTCTCGGCGACGCCATGTTCGGCAGGAAGGAGATTCAGCCTCGCGCGACGCAGGACAGATGCTTGACAAGTGGTGATGATTACCGTGACAAGAAGCGCGACAAAGAAAAGATGGTGTTACAAGAAAAGGTCGACACAGGGAGAGGTGTTGATGAAAGGTGAAGTGGGGGAGTTTGAAAGGAATTCAGTTGACGCTTTTGTTGTGCGAAAGTGCTCTGGCACTGTGAGTGAAATATCGCGCTAGCGAACAACACGGTGTGGTATAAAGATCCGGCGGTGCAAATGGACCATGATTACATTGCAGAGGCCGGTCTTGCAGTTGAGACTGCGTGTGCTCTCTGTGATCGAGACAGTCTATGGCCTCGTGTCTACGTCCTGTGAGCTTGGGGACTGTCCCCAATTGCACCACCCGCCCTGGTCTTGCACTACCAGTCCAGAACGGCAATCCTTGTTTTCGAGAGGCTCACTCTTTTTCTGCGCTGCTCTGAGAATGCTTGTGGTCGAGGCAAAGCCGATACCGCAGGCACCTGAAGACAGGGAATGGACAAGAAGGGCAAAGGACAAAGACTCCAGCCATCCATTCACGACTTATCGCACTGGACACACAGGCATCACCCCGGACAACGAACACCCTGCATTGCACTGAATACTCAGCACTGACATCATTTCACAGCCTTGTGCGTTACTTGCAGCGACATTAACAACACAATCCTGCGCCACAGTCACAGTCACAGACAGTCACCAGAAGAAGTCCACTCCACTACTACACAGCAGTTGAATCTCAAGCATAAGAGGGGGGATGGTGAAAAAGAGATGGCCCTGAATTCGTGCTTTTAGCGACTACGGGTTCAATGGCAAGAGTGGGATTTATGCTACAATTTACATGCATGGTATTTGTGTCCTGTGGGCGAGAGAGATTTGGCGCCACTCAGTAGCACACAATGTTTGGACAAACACCAGTTAGAAGACCGCATGGGTATTTGAGCAAGAGAGGGGTATACAGGAAGGAAGAAAAAAAAAGAAAAAAGAAATACAAAAGGACTTTGGTTTGTGTCAACATGGATTTGTCTAGGAAGCTCTCTCCGCAGAAAGCGCCACATCGGTCGATATCCTTCCCCTATCTGATTCTTGATCTGCATTCTGTCATTCTGCAAGACTTCCATCCTCGGTGTGACCCTGAATGCCTGTCGATTTGAAGGTTGAGACCAGCGTGCCAGCCCTGCCACATGCGAAAATACCAGCCAGTCCTTGCACAGTTGAAAAGTTCGACACATGTCGGCCCCGCTTACTGCTTGCCTAAGCTGCCACCACCTTGCTCGTCTTTCACAGGAGGATCGTCAAAGTTATGAACCACAAGCTGGCTCAGGATAATGTCAAAGTCTGCCCCCGCCATTTCTGCCGTGTAGTCGCCGAAAACTCCGTCCAAAATCTCGTTCGATGCTAGAGTTGGTCCCTGGATGTCGCTGGAAGTTGGATCTTCGCTGGCGTCGTCTCTCGTCAACACCTCGGTCATCTCAGGCACATCCCCGTACCCGTTTTGCTGGCGAACCGGGCCAGCAAGGCGTTTGATCTCTGCGATGGCGACCGGGTCCGGGATTGGAGACAGCGAGGCCGGGTCGAGAGTCACCAACGAGCCGTACGAATGCGGAAGCGGTGCGTCGAGAGTGCGAACCAGCGGTGTCAGTGTCGGTGTCGCCGTCGTCGCGCGATGGAAAAGGGTAGGGCACGGTAATGACAAGTGTTGCCTGGTCAAGGGCGACTGAGTCCTTAGCAACCCCGCCTTCGGGTGGTGTAGAGGCATGGGCATGTGTATCTTCATGTTGAAAGGCGACTCATGTTCGTATTCCTGAGGTGAAGGGCTGGATTTGGTTGCAAGCACCGACCGATCTGGATCTTCTAGATCCTCTGGAAACTCTAGATACTCCTGATGCTCTGGGTACTCTAGGTACTCTGGGTATTCTGGAAACTCGGTGGCAGTTGTGAATACAAACTCCTCGACGTAATTTAAGTAGGGTCGCTTTCGTCCCCGAGGAGATTGATCCATTTTTCTCACAAATACGAGATTCACCGCCCCCCCCTCCGCCGAGGACACTCAGTTATCCCTTACTTTGGAATTTTGGGGGCTCCCCTGATATGATTCGCGTTGGTTGACAGGTGGTGGTGGAGTTGGGCTCTGGCGTTGGAGTGATCTGGTTGGTTGGGTGGGTTGGTATGCAAGGAGGTTTTAGGACCCAAGTTTGACTGGACACAATGCAAGGGAGATGGAGATGGAGGGGGCGAGGGGGAGGGAGAGGGGGGTGAGAGAACCTCGTCTGCCTAATGTGTTCAATGTTTGAAAGGGTGACAACGAGACTCATATTCCCATAGGGCAGAGGAGAGTCTTACAGCAAGTGCCGTGTTTATCAGTAATGTGACATGCAAGTTCAGTTCCTCGCAACTGCGGCTGGCGGCTGGCAGCTGGTTTCACGAACTAGCAGGCGCAAGGCAGGATCAATCACGGATACGCACATGTCAAAGCATGCTCCTTTGAAGCTCGGCTTGAGACAAAGACAAAGACAAAGTGACAGCGGGCACTATGCACGATTATGGAGTGGATTTGTTTGCTAAGTCCAATGTTTGCACGGAGCAATCAAAGGAGGATGTCAACATTGTCAAGCGCCTGTACTATTCAGTATCTGGTAATTTTGAGTGAATGAGTGACAGTCTCAGCACATCCACATCGTTGTAGCGAGCGTGTATAGCGCAGTATTCCACCACAGATGTTCATCGTGTTCGTCGTGTGCTCGTCCCACCCCTTGTATTGTACTAGATACTCTTGTAACACCCAGCAGCAGATGTGCCCGTCGAAATCCAGCCATGGGCCAGAAGCCTCAGATCACTGTTTAGCCTCGATCTGAGCCAACAACTTCTCATACTCACTCCAATCCAACATGATGCCCTTGCACCCGGTCGCGAGCAGGTGGTTGGCCATCTCGTGCTTCTGTCCTCTTGTGTGTGTAGAACCAACATATCCCAGACATGGGATCTTCCCATTCACAGCCGCCAGTACCCCAGACTTGCTGTCCTCAGTAGTCAGGCATTCGTTTGCATTGGCTCCAAGCTGCTTAATGGCGTGGAGGTAGACGGCAGGATTTGGCTTGCTGGTTGGACAAGGCAGCGAATCGGCAGCCGAGAAGATGTTGGCCGGGTGAAAGAACCTGTCGTGGCCGGCTTTCACAAGACATGCTTTGATGCGTCGAATGCTCGAGGAGGAAACGACGGCCAACTTGTATTTGCCCTGCGAATGGAGGTTTTGGAGCATCTCAATCGACCCAGGGCATGCCGTCGCTTTCGCCTCAATATTGGCAATCACACGATCCTCTTCGAGCTTGATGTATCCTCGCAGTTCTTCGGGGTCTAGAGTGAAGCCGAGCTGTTGCTGCAGCACGGCCATGATGTTGCGAAAGTTAAGGCCGACGAATTGCGAGATCAGGTCTTCGGACGTATACCGAGTGGCAATGCCTTTCCTCTCCAGAATCTCGTTGACGATCTCACTGCAGACATCGAAAGCAATGTCCTCAGAAAGCACGAGGGTGTTGTCACAGTCGAAGAGAAGGCATTTGATCTGCGACTAGAGTGTTAGCCCATATCAGACAACGCTCGTGACAGGACCATGCCGAGGCACAACGGATGTGAACTGACCGCCATGGCTTTCCCTTCAACGGTATACTTCCTGTGGACCTGTTTAGGGGCCGACTTGAGACAAATGGTATGAATGAGTAACGGGAGAGAGCGACAGACAGGGAATGGACTTGCACAAGGAACGGTATGAAGAACAGAGTTCAAGAAGGTGTTTGAATAGGTAGTTTGGCATTGTAAAGAGGGCCGCAGGCAGTTAATGGCAGTCCAGATGCCAAAAAGTCACGGGACCGGACCAACGCAGTCAACCGACCTTCTCTTTGTGAAGGAGGCGTTTGAATGGAACAGGTTAGCGCGGATCGGATCATCGTATTGCCGGAGATGCTGTCGTTAGTGACTTGTAAGTACCTGCCTAGCAGAAAGGTGGCCCATGATTCCAGGGGCTGGCAAGGCTGAGCAAGGCTGTGCGGTCCTGTTGAGCCAATTCGCAAGAGATGTTGGTGACCCCTGGAGCCATCCCCTCACTGAGAACGGCTGGCCAGCCACGACACAGCAAAGACATAGATGAATCCTGCCAACAACCCATGGCATTTGTTCGATACCCAGCATTTCTTGCGCACCAACACGACCAAGTTTAGGTCATTTGGGTGAAGCATGGTCCTAATGGCCACTTGATGTTCGCTGAATTCAACTTGTTGCATCAAGGATATGGTAGGACATCCTCCGGTTTGCCAACATCCTGAGGCAGTGGAACCATTTTGGTGAAGGGTTCCTCGGTATCGACCAGCTCCTCCATTGTCACGACCACTATGCCAGTTGGGTCGATCCTTTGTCGCTGTTGTCTCCATTCATGGTACATGTCCCACCACCATTGATGCGTATCTCCATCTCTGCCAAGATGGCCGGCAAGACCATCCTGACTGAGCTGTCGTTCCCAAGGCTTGTCAACAATGTAATGGAGTATCACCAGCGTATCATCAGACCACATTCGAGGATGCCAATATCTCATAGTCTTGAGGGCATTGTATTTCCAGGATAGTGGATGCCACTTCCCACGAAAAAAATCGGCGAGGAAGTCCTGATCCGGGAATTGATAGTTCTTGAGCTCATCGCTGGAGTTGAAGAAACGAAGCATCCTATCCCACAACTGTTCCGAGGGGTAGAAGAGAAACATGCCGCTGTTCAAGAGATGATATGTGGGTCGGCTTTCGGAGGTCATCGCTGGAGCTACCTCGTTGGGGTGGTTCAAGGGTGTATAGGCACAGTTTCCCTTGTGCCACTCAGACGGGGCCCATGGATCGCTATCCAGGTTACACACGCAGGCGTGATTGGCTCCGATCCATTCTCGACCTGGTAAGCTGCATTCAAAGATGTCGTCGGGATTTTGAAAGATGGCCATATCGGCATCAAGAAAGACGGCCTTTGTAAAGCCTAGCTTGTAGATCTCGAAGGCTCGGAGTTTGGTAAATGTGTCCTTGAAACGTTCAGCCACACTGCCAGTGTTCTCCTGATCCTTCCTCGGCAGCAAAAGGGGAACTCGTTGCAGTTGTATTCGGCCAGAGTGCTTGGCTTCTTGTTGGAGGACGTCGAGAGCCTTGTCCCCCAACGAGTGTGTGTACTGCACCAACAAAGGGTGACTGGACTTGTGCTGATCGAGAGTATGAGCCAAGACAACAACGCCTGGTAGATACGATGGCTTTGTCACCAAGGTTACCCAGCACCGCTTTTCAGGAGAAACGGTCAGTATTGCCATTGTGAGAGTACTCGAATCAGACAGTGCCCGGGAAACTGAATAACAATGAATCCGCACTCAGTCCCTTTTGCTTTTTCAACGCCATCATTTCTCCCTCGTTCCCACTGGCCAATATTGCAGACCATCCCAAGTCATGTCGTCATCAGTCTTGAAGTTCCTGTCTGTTCCCTGTGAAGCCATCAGAGCACTGGTCTCTAAGTGTGCAATGCACATTCTGTACATGATAAGCACGCACCAGTGTTGATTCCCATGATTCGGAAAAAGTCCCAAGAGTGTACAAGTGTAATCTCGCCTGATAAAGGGACCAACTCTGTGAAATTGGGCGACTCGACGTCTGAGCTCGAATCAGAAGGGCGCGAATCATGTGACGGAATGTGATTGGCGGAAACATGACTCAGGCCCGGTTTCTCCGCCGACCGATTGGGCATCGTCTTTGTTGACATTTGCATCCACGAATGGGAAGGTCAGCCGAGCTCGGACCCCTCGCCTAACGCTCAGCACGGAATCGCACCCTTTCAGCTGCAATCCTCAGCTGTTACTTTGTGGATAACGATCCCTCGAGTCCATTCTCTGTGTCATGATTATATTAGGTTGACCTTTGGACTTAGGCTCCTTTACCGTTCCCTTCTGAACGACTATTTTATCGTCTCTTGGGACTATCTTGGATAACAACCCATCCTCATTCAACGCAGCCTGGTCAACAACCGAGCCCTCGTGCCCGTTCCTTTCCGGTGAAGACCTGAAGTTATACTCGGCGATCTGAATCGACCACTGTCTGACATGCAACGATGGTATTGCTCGAGAAGCAATGGGTAAATGTGCAAGAGAAGACATTTACCAAATGGTACGCAGTGGGATCCCTCGAGTTCCGTGAACATGGATTGATTTCATTAGGTTGAATAATAAAATCGTCTCGCGCGAAGTCGCCGTCAAAAGCCTTGTGACCGACCTCTCCGACGGTATCATCCTAATCCACCTGCTCGAAGTCCTCAGTAATGAATCTCTCGGTCGATATGCTTCGAACCCGAGACTGCGGGTTCAGAGGTTCGAAAACGTCAATAAATCGCTGGAATTCATCAAGAGCCGCGGCATTCAGATGACAAACATCGGCGCTGAAGATGTGGTTGATGGCAACAGAAAAATTATACTAGGCCTGATATGGACCCTCATTCTGCGGTTTACCATTTCCGACATCAATGAAGAGGGCTTGACGGCTAAAGAAGGCCTGCTCCTCTGGTGCCAAAGGAAGACGGCGTGTTACGAAGGTGTTGAAGTGCGAGACTTTTCTTCTTCGTGGAATGACGGGCTCGCTTTTTGTGCCCTACTCGATATCCATCGACCCGACCTCATTGATTTCGACACGTTGGACAAATCGGATCACAAAGGAAACATGAAACTGGCCTTTGATATCGCTTCGAAGGAGATTGGCATTCCCGATCTGCTCGATGTGGAGGACGTTGCGGATGTCCCCAAACCGGACGAGCGATCCCTGATGACATACATAGCCTACTGGTTTCACGCATTTAGTGCAATGGAGCGGGTTGAAAACGCAGGCCGGAGGGTCGAGAAGTTTGTGAGCAATATGCAAGGTGCTTGGGAGATGGAGTCGGCATATGAAAAGAGAATGCGTGCTCTCCTGCAGCAGATCCGGCACCAGCGACAGACCTGGCGTG